TTTAAAAATTTATTTTTTAAAAAAAAAAAAATTTTTTATATTTACCTTGGGGGAAAAAAAAAAAACTTTTTGGGGGGCCTTTTATGGAAAATTTTTGTTTTTAAACACCCACCCAAAAAATTTTTTTTAATTTTTTTAAATTTTTCTCCCTGGGGGGGGTTTACCGAAAAATTTATTTTTTTTTTAACCATAATTTTTTTTGCAAGTCCAAAAAATTATTAATTTTTTTTAAAAAAAAAAAAAAAGGTTTTAAAAGGGCAAATTTTTTTAAAAAAAAAAAAAAAAAAAAAAAAGTTTGTTTTAACGAATTAAAAAAAATTAACGGTTTTGCGAGGAACTTTTGTGTAATGATGACAACCCTATAAAAATTAAAAAAATAAAATAAAAGTATTTAAAGATTGTTTTAGGAAAGGAAAACTTTTCATTTAAAACGATTTCTATTATTTTGCTATTACTATTCGAACTGTGAAAAAAAATAAAAAAATAAAAAAATAAAAAAAAATAAAAAAAATGAAAATAATAAAAATAATAAAAATAAAAATATAGTTTTTAAATTATATACATACCAAAAGTAATTGAATAATAATGAAACACAAAAAAAAAAAAAATTATTTATGCTTTTTTTTTTATTGCATATTGGTATGAAAAAAAAAAAAAAAAAAAAAAAAATTATTTTTTGATTTAATTTTGGGAGGGGTGACATAACACTAAAGATGTTACTAATGAAAGTAGTAATAAATGTCTATTTAATACTTATTGTTAAAAAGATTTATCAATATTTCTGAATATTTCTAATTATATTTTCTTTTTGATTTCTATTTATTCATTTTTTTTTTAATTATATTTTTTTTTATTTTTTTAAATTTTTAAAAAAATTTTTTTTTTAATTTTTTTAATTTTTTTTAATTATTTTTTAATTTTTTTTTTTATTTAAATTTTTTAATATTATTATTTTTTAATCACACTATATTTCCAAAATTATTTGTGTTATATAATTTTGTAGCAGTATAAATACTTAATCTACAAAAACTAGTTCAAATAATATTATCTTTTTTTTTCTATTTTTTTATTATTTTATATATTGTATATAATTTTTATTTTTTTAAAGTTAACACTTATTCATAAATAGCGGTTTTATTTTAGAAGAATATTACAACAACAACAACAACAACAACAACTTTAGATAGCTAAAATCATTACAGCAATAAATATCGAATCGTAATAATATAGCAGCAGCAGCAGCAATAATAATATAAAAATATGAGTAATTATAATAATAAACATCATGATGATGGTAATCCATTTTACTCAGAACAAATAAATTCAAATTCACCACAACAACAACAACAACAAAATTTATTTACCAATACCAATATAGATTTTAATGATTATTCATCACAAAATAAATCACCAAACCCACAATACCAACCAGATTTACAATTCCAAAGTAAGTATCACACAACACATAATGTTAATAATAGTAATTTAAAATAACCTGGGTATTAACTTTTTTATTTATTACCTAATAAAGGTTTTACACACGATGTTGATATAAATAATAATACTTCACCACAAAACAATAGCAATAGCAAAATTGGAGGTAATCAATATGCAGATAATGTACCATTAACATCAGATGAAAGTGGAAGTGGCGAAAAGAAATATAGTTTTTATGAAATACCATATTATAGATTCCTTTTCAATGTTGACACAAAAGAAGTCGGTTTTCGTCTTATGAGATCAATGGTCCCAATTAAATTTTCATTCTTTAATCTTATTAGAGAAAATCCAGATCTTTATGGCCCATTCTGGGTTTTAACATCACTTGTTTTTATTGTTTCAGTTTCATCAAATCTTAATGACTATTTCCACACAGAAAGTAAGCTATATGATAATACTATAGTATAGGTATAAAATAGCGCATTCTAACTAATTTAAATTAAATTTACTTATAGAGGACTATCAAGTTAATATTAAAAAAATCGTTTATAGTGCAATCGCAATGTATGGTTATTCAATTATTATTCCAGCAATTTTATGGGGTATTTTCAAATGGATGAATCTTGGATTAAGATTATTGGATATGTTATGCATTTATGGTTATGCAATGTTTATTTATATTCCAGCTTCAGTATTATGCGTTATTCCAAATACACTCATTCAATGGATCATCGTTGCAGTAGCAGCAGTTGTATCCGGTGTATTTTTAGTAACAAATATCTTTACTCCATTAAAAGAAGATTTTACAAAGAGGGGTCTTATTATTTGCGCTGTAATTGGAGGTCTTCATTTAGGTTTGGCTTTAGTCCTTAAACTTTATTTCTTTGCCAACAACACCGAAAATTTCGATTTAAGTAGTAGTTCATCAGGAACACCAACACCATCCGTAACAACACCACCACCAACCCCATCAAACTCATAAAAATAAAAATAAAAACAGAATCATATATATTTAAAATTTTAAATTAAATTAATTTATTTCAACAAAAAAAAAAAATAAAAAAAAAAATAAAAAAAAAATTAAATTAAATTATAATTATAATTGAATTAATTCAATTAGTTCTATGGTTTTTATTGTTTTAGTTTTTTAAATGATTCTTCCAATTCGGATTGGTCTAAAGATTCACCAATTAAAACTATTTTGTTGTGTCTTTTTTCATTTTCGGACCAATATAAACCAGATGGCAATACTTCAAAGGTTGAATAAACTCCTTGAAGGATATACTTTTCTTTGTCATCTTTAATAGAGATTAAACCTTTAATACGGAAAATTGAATCTTTTTTCTCGTCCCATAATAGATTACCGACCCAACGAGTGAATTCATCCAAATCGACGTCAAAATCTTGAGTTATACATATGGTGTTGATATGTTTTGAGTGATTGCTGCATTGGTCGCATGACTTTTCATCATTTTTGTTATCGTGGTGGTGTTGTTTCTCTGAATTGTTGATGTAGTCCTTCAATAAATCGATATTTGGGGTATAGGCATTGACATTTAATACTTGGTCCAATGGTACTTTTGATCTTTCTGTGGTGATGATTTTTGCCATTGGGTTAATTGATCTAATCTTGGATTCGACAGAGGCAATTTCTTTTTCTAAATTATTTTGATCCAATAAATCTATTTTATTTAATAAAATTATATCTGCAAATGCAATTTGTCTTTCGACTTCAGTTGAATAATACTTTGAGTCATTTGATTCACCACTGTTATGAGTGTTATTGCTATTGTTCATTGATAGTTTTTCTGATGCTTTTGATTTCTCTATATGCTTTTCGACATGTTTAGCATCGACCAATGTTATAATACCATCTAAATAAATTGGTGATTCTAATTCTTCATCCACCCATAGGGATGAGGAAATTTGTCCTGGGTCACCCTAATTAAAATTTAATTAGTTTGTTAGTATTATTACCACGATGGTTATTATATGAACAGATATTAAACTTACCATACCAGTTGATTCAATTAATATATAATCGAATTTATCACTTCTTTTTAATAAATCTTCAATTGATTGTAAAAAGTCATCTTTGACGGTACAACAAATACAGCCATTTGGGAACTCTAACCATTCTTGAACCTTTTCGCCATTTGAGTCTACAATCATTGCTGTTTCGATACCAATGGATTGTCCATATTCATTTTGAATGACTGCTATTTTTTTACCATGGTTTTCATTTAAAATATAATTTAAAAATGTTGTCTAAACAACAAGAGAAAAATGGGTTAATAACAAAAAAAAAAGTAAAATAGTAACAATAAAAAATTAAAATAAATAGGGGGATGATGGTGTGTGAATAAAAAAAACAAGCCCCAAAAAAAAAACAAAAAAAAAACAAAATATCACCACTTAATCTCCTGTATTATATATATAAAAAAAAACCCCACAGACAACAAATATACAAACAAAAAATTATAAAAAAAAACGGCAATAATAAAAATAATGATATAAATTTCTTATATTTACCTTCCCTGATCCGAGAAATCCAGTGATTAATGTTATAGGTACTCTTGTTGTTTTAGTATTGGTTATTGTTGATGTGTTACTATTATTAGTTTCGGTTGACATCTTGGTTTTTTCTAAAATTAAAAAAAAATTCTTCTATTTTTAATATTGTTTTATTATTTTATGGTTTTTTTACTATGTGATGAACAGTAATATTTCTATTTCACACATTTAATACAAAAAAAAAAAAAAATGAATGAAAACATAAAAAAATAAATTAAAAAAAATATAAAAAAAAAAAATTAAATAATATTTAAAAAATTAAAAAAAAAAAAAGAACGATAAATTTGCAATTTTTTTATTTTTTAATTTTTTAAATATATTTATATATTTTTTTTTTTTTTATATATATAACAATAATATTCACTTAATATAACATTTCAACATAAAATATTTTCATTTTCATTCTTTTTTTGGGTGTGGGGGTGTGTTCATAATTTTTTTTTTTCTATATGAAAATAGTGTGTGAAAAGTGTTTTTTTAAAACAAAAATATAAAAGAGAGCTGCCTTGTATAAATAAAAAAATATACATTTAAATTCGTGTATAAATCCTCTTTTTTTTTTGGTTTTTTTTTTTTTTTTTTTTGTTTTTCTTTTATTTTTTTTTTTTTAAAATAAATCTTAATCAAACAAAAAATATTATAATATTATAATAATTTTTTTCTTTTTTTTAATTTTTAAAAGAGATAAACATTAACAACAACCACAATAATAATAATTATTATATATTCGCACATACTAAAAGTTATGATTATTTTAAAAAAAAGTTATTATAATATAATTAATAATAATAATAATAAAAATAATAGTTGTAATATTAGTTGTAGCAATCATAATAATAATTAGAAAAATAATAAATAAAATATAAATATAAAATGTTGACTATTCCAAATTATTTATTACAAGAATATTTCGAAAACTATGGTATAATAGCACGAAGAAAGGGATCATTCAATTATTATTTATTATCAAATATAAGTTATTTAAATCATCAAATAATAAATATAAAAAGAGAAGTAAGTTTTTTTTCACCTTTTGAATTTTTACCCTTTTCTTATTTTTTTATTTTTACTTTTTTTCATAATATTAAATATTAATTTTTTTTATTTTTTTATTTTTTAAAAGATAATAATATTTAATAGATTATTAAAATTACATAGAAATGTAATACATATAGAAGATTTAATAGTTGCAGATGACAAATCACAATATATAGTAAAAAATATATGTTTGGAAACTTCATTATCAGAGATTTTAGATAATGATGGGTTTATACCATTGGAAACATTACCAAGATTCATTCCAGATATACTTCAGGGCTTGTATTATCTTCACACAAATAATATAGTTTATGGAGATTTAAAGCCATCAAATATTTTAGTAGGCTCAAATGAAAATTTAAAATTAAATTCAACCAGTTATTCAATTTTAATAAATAATAATATAAATAATAATAATAATAATAATAACAGTAATAGCAATAATAATAGTAATAGTAGTAATAATAGTTATACAATTAATGAATTAAAATCATTATTGGGTAATAGTAATAAGAATCAACAACAAATAATAGAATTTTTTAATTATATAGAATATGAATCTAATGGTGATGACTATGATTATGAGGGTGATGAGGATGCAGATGATGAGGAAATTGGGGATTTGGATGATTTGGATAATGATGACCTATTATTATCTGACAGTGATTGCCCAGTCAAGAAGAAAAAGAAAAAAGTTATAAACGAATCAATATTTTATTTGGCACCAGAATTATTCAAGGGTTACTCATATAGTATAGCAACCGATATGTGGGCATTAGGCGTAATGCTCTTTAAAATGATGACTGGCGCTTTACCATTTTATTCAGACAGTCCGATCGCCCTAATAAATAAAATAATGTTTGAACCTTTTCCTACACCTATCATTAAATCAGCTTCAACTAGATATATTGAAAGAGTTACACAAACCCAACAACATGACTTTACAGATTTAATTTCAAAATTATTAGAAAAAGATCCATTGAAAAGAATAGATTGGGAACAATTATTAAATCATCAGTTCTTTAATAACAACACACAAACTACTTGTATTATTCAAAAACAGTTATTGGAATTAAAAAAATTGGAGGAAAAATCAGACTACACCCCATCATCATTCACCACTTTATCAATTGTATATAACGATAAAAAGTATAGCAATTTAAATGGTAATAGTTTAAGCAACAGTTTAAATAATAGTTTAACAAATGAAAGTGATTTAATCAATGCTATAAATAATTTTGCAAACAATATTAATAACAACAGTAATAACAATAATAATAATAATAATAATAACAACAACAATAATAATAATAGTAATGGTAGTTTCATAACACCTCCCTCGCCATTATCACTATCATCATCTTCATTAGTATCATCCTCAGTATCAACAATAGTACAAAACCAAATGCCCTCCGCTCCACCCTTTATAATCCCATTACAGAATACAATGATAATGTCAGAGCAAGAGATTAATGAATATTTCAATTTCTTAATTAAATTTTTAAAATCAAAAACAACTATTATTATCAAACTATCTTTAATTCACTATATAAAAAAATTATTATTAACAAATAGCAATAATATATTAAAGAGTAATAATAATCATGTTTTAGTTAGAAATAAAAAATCTGCAGTCATAGATCAATTAATTCAACAAATTAAAATTTCAAAAAATCCAATCATTAAACATAAAATACTTTCATTAATGGGTGCTTTAATTAAACACTCAAAAGGTTTAATTCAACAAAACTCTCTATTGGAGTTATTCGAACTTTTAAGTCAAGAAATTATTAAACCAAATGCATTAAATAATAGTAACATTAGCAATAGCAGCAATGGTGGTTATAATAATAGTTCAAATAAACCCATTCATAATGGAGTAATTAATGGCTTTATTAATGGTAATGGGGTATATAGTAATATTGGTGGTAGGACCATCTCACCAACCTACAATAAAGATTCCAATATATCGTCAGCAACTTCATCTTATGATGGTTTTAGTGTAAATGGTTATAATGGTTTTAATAATAATAACAATAATACCAACAATAATAATAATAATATTGTTACAAATAGCCACCAAGATGAAGTTTTCAAAAAATTAAAAAGAAAATCAGTTGATGTTTACAGCGAGCTTTTATTTCACTTTTCAACATTAGATATCGGTAACCCATCATCAATATCTCCAAATTTAAAAGTAATTTCAAGTGTTAAAAAATAGGATATATATAATAAAAAACACATTTAATATTTATTTTTATAGAATTTTTTAAAAAAAAAAAAGTATAATCTAATACATTATATATAGTTATACAAATAAAATTTTCAATACAAGCTAATAGTAATCGTTAGAGGTTCATTTTAGTTATTTAATAAAATATATTTCATTGTTTTTTATATTACTAAAATATTATAAACAAAACTGAGTTTAACACACAAAACTATCCAAATCAAATTGCTGAATAAAATATATTAATTACGAAAAATAACCCAATTCTCTTCCCCTAAAAAATTTTAAACGAAATAAAAACGAGGCAAAACAGATTCTAATGAGCTGTCGCCAATGTTTTTAATTTTAAGAAGTGTGCCAAGAACTGGACAATCAAGGACCATTATTCAAGAAATATCAAAGATTTTACCTCCACACTTAATATTTTTCTTTATAATGATCAATCAAAAAAATAACCCACAGGGTAATATGTCCATGTTATAACAGAAACCACGACACTCGATACAGTGAATCCTTTACCCGTATTTTCCATTGTTAAAAGAATTCAACCATAAATAGCAGTATTATATTAGTTATCGGTATATAGGGCAGCTTTTTAATTTATTTTATCAAATAGCGCATGTGGTCTAGTGGTATGATGCATCCCTGCCACGGATGCGAACTGGGTTCGATTCCCAGCATGCGCAAATTCTTTTGTATAAGAAAATCTTCCGGGTGATAAAATTATTTATGAATATTCTGTAAAACACACACTTATTACAGATGATTCTGTACCCAAATTGTATTCAGGGTGTAATGAAAAGGTATATGATTATGACTAAGTTACACAACTAAAATACTTAACGAAAATATAATAAACTCTAAAATAAACACTTATGGAGACGCAATAAAATATATTAACACAAACTAAATAATAAACACTAAAACACTTAAATTACTTAAAAACACTTAAAACAATTATGAGAACACTGAAATATACTTTATTTATTATTTATCTTTATTACTTGTTTAAACATATATATATAACTAACTAAAATAAACTAACTAAGAAACTCTAAAGTTTTAGACTGAGGACTTGATGTATTTATACTGAATGATATTAGTTCTAGAAGCTAATTCTTAAGTAGTTGAAATACTGGCATTGGTAGTTATTATTTAAAAAGCAGTTACAAAATACTGGAATTGGCAGTTATTAAAAAGCAGTTATAAAATACATTTTTACTTAAAGATATAGACTGTCGATTCATTACAAGGGTAAACTGGGGGAGCAATGATAGCCAAGTGGTCGAACGAATTTCCTACAAGTTACCGCTCCGGGTTCGAAACCTAGTCTCAGCAAGTTTTCCGAATCACACACGAATTGCTGTTACCGTGCCCAACTTGTATGCAGTGTGGTAAAACTCATATAAGCATTAAACACATACCAAACACAATAAACTGATGACTTAATATATCATTAAGAATCATCTTCACTTTTAAAAAAAAAAAAAAAAAGGTAAACTCATTGTAATGTATTCATATGCATTTTGGAAATTAAATGAATATTACAGTTATAATTATATCTCAACTAAATAATATTTATTATTTATCTATAACTAAAGTAGCTTCATCTACATAATCTATAGATTAATTAAAAATCTCACTTTTTGTAATTTATTATCATCAAAATTCACTTAATTAGTTAATTATAACTTAAATAGTCATTTAATCAATCAATTATAACAATAATTTTAATAATTTAAAAATAATTAAATCAAAAAAAAAATCAAAAAATAAAAAATTAAAAAAAATCAAAAAAATTTTTTAAAAAATTTTCAATTTCACAATATATCCATATATTTATTGTTTATTAATTTATTTATACATTAAAGTTACTTTGCATTACACTTTTTTTTTCAAGATAACTTACGATACTAGGGCCCAGTAAAAGTTAGGTTAGTAGAGAATTTTAAAAGGTATATATAAAAAATATTATTAGAAAGCTAGACTGAATTTAAGCTCTCTTCTTCGATTGGGTACCGGAGAGACCAAAGATTTATCTGCCAAACTCATAAATGCATTAACTCTAATGGATGAACAAATTAACTTGTTCAATGGGGAAGTTGGGAAAGTAAAGCTTCTTAAGGAAATGATGGAACTCAGATTGAAGAGCCAACCAGTCTTACAACCAGTTCCAATAGATGAATTAGTTACCAAGAAAAGATTAACTTTAAAGTTACTTAACATTACATTTTTTAAAAAAAAAAAAGATAATGTGGTATTTTATGCAATAGGATGGTCGATATTTTTGTCTGATTTGAAAACTTTAAAAAGAATAGAAAATGACGGTCATTATTTATAAATGTGTGGGAATGTTTTTAAAAAGTTTATTGGTAGCTTTCGTGAGCGAAATCTGAAAAGTTAAAATATTGAATGAAGCGATTTCCTCTAATATCAAGCATTTTGGAATTTTTTTCTTATAAGAAGATATTTTAAATTATTTCCTTAAAAAAATTTTAAGGAAAAAACGCTTATTTCCATAGATTCTAAAAAACTAAAATTAAAAAACCAAGAGTGAAGATATTTTAATTTTAGTTTTTTAGAATCTATGGAAATAAGCGTTTTTTCCTTAAAATTTTTTTATTTCTTTAATACCTAGTATCTTAAGAAAAGTATATTTTTATTGTTTTTATAAAAATATTTTTTTTTTGTTGAACACAAAAAAAAAAATTATGCTGTAATAATAATTATAATATAATATAAAGAAAACATGTTAAAGTATACTTTTAAAAGTTTTATTTTATTTATAATATTACTTTTGATATTATTTAATAATATATTTTGTGAAGTTATTTTAAAAGATGTTTCACCCCTCAATACTTTATATAAGAAATATATAACAAATTGCGAATTTACTTTAGAAATATTATGTATACCACAGGAAACACTGGATACGTGCAATATAGATTTTAGTAGTTCTGAATATAACATAACTTCTTCATCCGAAATATTCGTAAACGGTACAGCAAAAGTTACAAGATATATAGTTAATACTGATATTATAGGTACACATTATCTAAAGTATAAAGAGTTTAGTGTAGGGTTCCAGTGTTTAGGTATGTATATTTTAATTTTATTTTTTATAATACAAAAATTTTATAATCTACTAAATAATAATTTAAATAAAATAGAGCTTGATTTAGATAATGTATCATTTAAGTTGATATCTGATTATTTCATTTATATTAATACAATTGGCTGTTATTATAGAATAAACGGATTTGATCCTGATGTCTCAATTTCAGGTACTGTTATTTCTCATGACTATGGTTATTTTATTTTTTTTGGATTTAACTCTGGACTATTAATTTTCAATTCTATTCCAGATTATCAAATTTCTCATACTCAGCTTAACTTTTCAACTCCACAAAAATCCAGATTATTTTCATTTAAAACACCAATTGGTAATATTTTATTTTTAAATTATTTTTCTTCAATATTAACTTACTAATTTTATATTTTTCGTAGTAACTGAACAATTTACACTTACTTTAAATAAAACCTTTCCAAATGAGCAAAATTTAGAAAAATATAATGCTATGGGCTATAATTATGGAGCAGTACTCTCATTTAAAGTAAAAGAACCAATTAATAAATTATTTCTCACTTCGTTTTATAAAAAAAGTGAAAATAGTATTCAACGTAATGAAATTACTCTATATTTTCCAGTCAGTTCGGATTTAACAGGTGAAACTACAATAATTACACCAAAAGACAGGTTTGAAGGAGAATTAAATTACGATCTTTATTATCTATCACAATCAACACAAATTAAGGCAACACCAAACACTCTAAAAACAAATTTTATTCAATGTATGAACAATCATTATAATTATATTATTATTATTTTATTAAACCTTTACCATTCCAAATTACTATTTACCATCTATAGATCCAATATTAGGTATACCGATTGTAAGTCGACTAGGAGGTTATGAAGAAGGTTTACCCATTGTAACATTTGGATTTTCAGACACGACACCGAAAACTGATTTCACACCATTTTATTTTTCAATAAATGAAGAGAGTTATATTGCCAGATTCCCATATGGTTATATAAAATCATATTCAACTCCAAATTCATATGATTTCCAAGTTACCTCTTTAGTAAAACCTACTCATATAAAAAATAATTTAGCTATTCAATTTGGATCAAATGATTTACCAAAAATTGTATTTCAATATATAAAGTATTCACCAATGGGTAATATTTTTTTAATTGGGTTTTTTTAAAATATATGGTTTTATTAACTTAATAATTTTTACTTTTTAGATTCATTATTTGTCTATAATATCAATTTCAAACCTTCTATTTTAGATTCAGAAATTATTAATTTGGGTAATGGCTATTCAAAAATTAAATTTACTCTCAATACTAAATATGGATTCAAATATTTAAAAGTAAATGCCTTTAAAGGTAGCATTATTTATGGAATAGAGACTTTTGTTAGTGGTGATTTATATGGTATCGGTATCTATGAATTTATCACCCCAATAAAATTTCAAACATTTTATTTATATGACCAAGCTTCATTTGTTCTTGATTTTGAAAACACAGAAATAATAAAAATTGATAATAGAAATGATGTAATTAGACTATACAGTCCTCCAATAAAATGTAGGTTATAAAAAATAAATAGAAATAGAAATTATAATATATATTAATTATTTTATTTTTTTTAGTTGATATCTTTCAAATTAAAGATGTATCATTTTTATATAATGATATAGATGTTTCGGATCAAAGAATTTATAACGAAATGTATTTTAATTATTCCGATAATGTTCCTAGAGATACCTCATTTGCTATACTCGATTTCTATTCACCTTATCTTATAAATGAAAGCCCTACATTTTATTCAGTTTGGAATGAAAATATTAAAATGTTTCAAATTAAATTTTACATTGAAGCAAATAGCCCCCGTGGAGTTTACCAATTCTACTTTTCTACTATTGACGGTCAGGTTATACATAGCTATTCTCTAAATACTCAACTAAGAATTGATAAAACAAGTAAGTATAATTTTTTTTTATATTATTAATAATAAATAATGAAAAAATATTAACATATATACAGATTTAGACTACCAAGGACCAATATTCAAAGAAATATCAAAGATTTTACCCAAAAAAACTGATGGATTAAATATTAAACATGGTATATTTGGTTGGACCATTACAATTGAAGATCAAATCAATGGTTTTGATTATGGCTATATTGTTATCAAAGGTCAAATTGATCAATCATATTACAATATATCACTAACACCAGAAACGAATATTAAATCGGGTAATTTATACATTGGTGTTTATGATATTAAATTAAACATATCATTCCCATGCATTACCCAAGACTATGTTATCGATGAAGTAAAGCTAATCGATAGAACTGGTAGAGTTGCTTATTTCAGTATTTGTTCAAGAGACTCCATTTATAATTCGGTTTTCAATCCATTTATAAACTATCTCCAAGATTCATCAATCAACAAAATTAAATTAGAATGCGATATCAGTCAAGTTTCTTCAGATTCCACACCACCAATTCTTTTATCATTCAAATCATCAACATCACAAAACTCAAACGAAATTGATGTCAGTAAATCAATACGAACCATCACATTTGATTTTATAGCATCAGATCCCGAAAGTGGTTTAAAAAACAACCAATTCCCTATAGTCTATATATTAAATTCAAATAATCAAATACTAGAATGTCACTCGGAGATTACATTTTCAACAGATACCGATACAACATACAAATGTACTTTAGATTTACCACTTGCTTTTGGATATCCAGGTATAATAATATTTTCAGTGTATGGTTTCATTAATAATAACGGACTATTTAGTGGTTATTCAAATAAACTTTTAATATCTTCTAATCTATTCGATTATTTTGCAACTACTACATTCAATACAATCGAACCAGTACTCACAACAAACATTGAAATAGTTGAAAAAGGAGGTAATCTATGGTTGTATGGGAGAAATCTTAATAATACAGTAACTGTCTATATAAAATACTATGACTCAACAAGTTTTATATCATTTCACCCAACTGAAAAATATTCAACAGCTATTTTAATACCAGGTGTCATCTCAACAAATAAACCATATCTTATATATGTCAGTACAGGTACAACTATTTCTAATACTATAGAAGTGACTCCTGTTTTATATATTAATTGCAATGGCAATGGTGTTCAAAAAACATCAACTTGTATTTGTTATAATAAATGGACAAGTAATGATCCATATAATCAATGTACAATACCAAATCACTATATATCATCATCAACACAAGTATCACCAAAAACAGGGGGCGAAATTACACTATATGGATGGTTCAGTACTTTAAATAATAATGCAACACTTTTTATCGATGACAAATTATTACCATTTTCAATAATATCGTCAGAATCAATCAAAGTAACAATTGGAGCAAGCTCTATAGGCACAAAAAAGGTCAATTTCATTCAAAACACAGTCACATGGAGCGGCGTCATATATCCATATAATACTACAGAAAAAGAATGTTCATCAAATTGTCACGAACATGGTATTTGCAATAAAACAAAAGGAACATGCAATTGTAATTCAGGATTTGCAGGTTTTGATTGTTCATCACCAATAAATGGCAATAATAATCAACAAACAGAAGTTAAAAAAAATGGAACGGTTATAATTAAAAATCAAGATTTAGGATATTCAATATTCATCGATTCAATTGTAGAATTAAACCTTAACAAACAACAAGTTACAACATTCAACTTATCAAACAATTGGATATTAGCAAATAAGCAAGAATCAATTACTACATTCCATCAAATAAGAACTAATGAAGATAACACCATTTCAACAATAAAACTAATAATAGAAGAAACAAACGACAAAGATAAAGACTTCACATTTTTAGGTAATCAATTTACTGTTACTAAAGGAGGATTCAAATTATCTCTCTCAATTTCAAACTGGTTCTTCAAAAGCAATCTCAATACATTACAAGTGCAAATGACATCAGACTTACAAATCGAGCCAGTAAATAGTAACAATTATTGTAATAGAGATAATAAAGAAACAACCATAGAATCATCATCAAATAATAACTATTTATTAAATAGCATAAACTTTTTAAAAGTAATTAAAAACAATAGAATTCTTTATGCAAGATTCCAAGATAAAATGCTATCAGACAATAGACCAACAACAATTGTAGCTAATGTAATTTCAAATAATAAAAACTCAATTAAAATAGCTTTAAACTTACCACATTGTAACGAATGTTTAATTGATCCAGGTATGTATATTTTATTTATTTATTTTAAAAAAAAAAGAAAATATTAATTTTTTCATATTTTAAATTTTTCAATTTAGATTTTTCATTATTAATTTCATTAGATTATAGTTTTGAATGTGAAAATTCAAGAAAATGGGTTAAACCTGTAGCAATTTCAGTAGGTTTTGTTGGATTTGCAGTTTTAATTGGTGTAATTTACTATGTTTATAAAAAGAATACAAATTTAAAAATCAAACTTTATAGATTTAAAAAACAATTAAAAAATAAAACTAAACTTTAAATAAAAATAATACCTTGATTTATTGTTGATGTATATGTTCTTTCTATTCTTCAAATATTAGTTTTTTTTTTAAAAGCGAAGAAAATTTTTAGAGATATATTGTTTTTTTTTTTTTTTTTAAAAAAAAAGTGATGATACATTAAGTCATCAGTATTTTTTGTTTTTGTTTTATATGGTATGTGTTTTATACTTTGTAATGTATTCATATGCATTTTAGAATTAAATGAATATTACAGTTATAATTATATCTCAACTAAATAATATTTATTTTAATTAATTTATTATTTAAAATTAAAAATAAAATAAAAATAAAAAAATTGAAAAATTTTTTTTTTTAGTTTTTAGTTTTCGGTTTTAGTTTTCACAAACAAATAATTTTATATTTATTTGATTATTAGAATTATTTATTTAATAATGGTGCAAAAAGTTAAAATAACAGTGGCAGCTCATTAAGTTTACCACCATCACCAAATCTTAGTCATCAACAAATACCAATCACTATAAATAATGGCCACAACAGAATATCATCTTTAGATCAATGGTTCATTAACACCGACATCACATGGAAGAGGACCATTAAGAAACCTTGAATGAAAAAGAACAAAAAAAAAGATAAATCTAGAAAGGAAAGAGAGAAGTATGGAGGAATCATTAAAAATCCGATTTAAACATCACACCAGATCTATTCAGTATATTTGGTTTGCATTAAGAGAGAAAAACAAATGTCAGAAGCAAACTCACTTGGTAGAGAAGGTTCTGTCAGTTTAATACACTTGGATTTACCACGTACATTTCCAATGTTATCCATTTTTCAAGATGAAGGTCCACTTCACCAATCATTGGCAAATGTACTAAAGGAATATGTTTGCTATTAACCCGATGTTGGATATGTCAAGGCATGTCTTATTTAGCAGCTTTTTTTTATTAATTTTAGACGAATTCACTTCATTTGTTTTCCTCAGTAATTTTTTAAACCTTTGTTACATGGCATTCTAAACAATGAACCTTTCTCAAATGGAATTATATAAGAAAGCGATGGATCAACTAATGGCTCTTCATGTTCCAAAAATTCAAAATCATCTTAAAGAATTAAGTTAACAGCCAATTATCTTTATGATCGATTGGTATTAACTTTATTCAAAAGCTTTACCATTGAAATTTGCATCTCACGTTTGGGATACCATATTTTTAGATGGAGAATCTGTAATTTTTCAAACAGCTTTAGGAATTTAAAATGTATAGTAAGGAATTAGAAAATAGCGACTTTGATGTTTGCATGACCTAGCTAACTCATTTACCATCGGATATTGACGAAGATGAATACTTTATTCCAACATATAAACTCTTTTACAATTAATCAAAAAATTTTTAATAAATTTGTAACAAATAAAAAATAATAATAAATAATAAATAATAAATAAATGACTAAATAATAATAAATAAAATAATATTAACTAATAATAACAATTGTAAAGTCAATATTTAAAAAATAAAGCCAAATTAATATACAAAAATTTATAAATAATTTTAAAGATTTAGTTTTATTTTTGAATTTATTTATAAAAATAACATTTTATTTGTTTATAACTATAATATTTTTATAAATATTCAAATATAGAATATAAAAATTGTAATGATAACTTCTTATTTCAATTTTAACTATGAAGAATATAAATAATAATAAATTATAAGGAAAAATGAATTTTATCTTTTTGAGAATTTATAATAAATTAATAGTGGGGCTAACTACTTTAACTACCACTTGAAGCTCCATTTTAGGTTCTATTTAAAGCACCATTTGAAACACCATTTGAAGAGCTATTTGAAAGACCATTTGAAGCACCACGAGCAAGCGCTATTTGAACACCATTTGAAGCATTACTGGAACCACCATATTAAACGATATTTGAAGCACCACTTGGAGCACCATATGAGGCACTAGTTGAACCACCGAAGTACCACTTGTAGAACTACTTGAACTACTTGAACTACTGCCACCCTGAAGAACCACTTGAAGAACCACTTGAACCACCATCTGAAGAGCTATTTGAAGTACCATTTGAACAACCATTTGAAGCACTATTTGAACAACCATTTGAAACGCTTATTCAACTACCTTTTGAATATCAACCTGGATTTTTAACACATTTGGAGAATTGCCGATGCTGCTTTTAATTTAATGAACCTAATTATTAATAAATTAATTATTAATATATGTTTAAAATTAATTTTTAAAAAGAATATTATTTTACATACCATTTCTGTCTATAAATTATTGATTAGCTGCGCTAATACCGAAATATAATAGACCAATGTCATTACATATTAATTATTTTTCCATAACTACATTATGGTTTTGAACGCAATGAGCCATAATGTTTTGCATAGTGAGATAATAAAATTTCTCTACTGTTTTGAATTGAACTTGGTATTATTTCAATTATAGAGCTTCTTTCAGATTCAACTGATGAAATTATTGTAATTTGAGATTTCAATAATTCGGAAGCAGCAAGTAAAGTCAAATGATCACCCCAGGTACCGTTTCTTGACATACGGTTGCAATAACTATTCCAATCATTAGTATTTGCAAATTGGGATAGTTTTGCACCATTATTAAGGGTGAAGTTTTTATTATCTCTGAGCCATGCAACAATGGCTCTTCTAATTTCGGGACCATGGTTCAAGTCACCGAAAACTTGGTCAGATAAAGCATGCATCTGACAGTTTCCATCGCCTGGAATATCCCTACTGTTCTCCAAATTGTAGAGATCCAAACGATCATATAAACGTGTTAAAGCTGCATAGTCCTCTACAGCTGAGTTGATATCCATTGGTTCACAATATTGACCTTGGCCATCAATAATATGTGAATTTACATTTGGAGTTGATTGTTGTTGTGTTTGTGGTTTTGATTGTTGTTGTTGTTGATGGTTTTGTTGATTATGTTGTTGATGATGTTGATGTTGATGCTGGTGTTGTGATTCTAACTCTGGTTCTGGTTCTTGTTGTTGTAGTTTTTCATATTCATCCATAGCCCTAAATAGTTTTTTATAATCGGGAATTGATGAAGTGGGTTTTGGTTGTGGTTGTGATGATTGTGGTGATTTTTGTTGTTTTTGTTGTGCCTGTGCTTGTGATTGTTGTTGTGCTTGTGCTTGTGATTGTGATTGTTGTTGTGATGATTGTGGTGGACTTTGTTGTTGTTGTGGCTCGTAGGATGGGTTATTAATTTTATGATATGCTTCGTAGTATTCGTCATCATAAAAATAATCATTGCATATATCGCTCTCGTAGTAATTCTCTTCCTTTTTGTGGTTGTTTCTTCTGATTTTTTTAATAAAAAAATATAAAATGAACAAAATGAGAAAAATAAAAAAATATAAAACAATATTAATCATTTTTTTATTTTTTTAAATATTATATATCTACAAATAAAATAAAAACAAAAATTAAATAAAAATATTAATAAAAAAAAAAGTTAATAGGGTATAAAAATATATAATAAATGATAAATTTTGATAACTTACAAAGAATATTGATTGGTTAATTTTAGTTTTTTGATTGTAAAAAAATTAAACTTGATTTTAATGTAAAAGATTGTGTTTTTGAAAGCTATTATTTTTAAAAAAAGAAAAAAAAAAAAATTTTTAATGCCATTAAATAGTTTATTTTTTTTTAAAATCAAAAATGAAAATTTTTTATTAAATTAAAAATAAAAATTAATTTTATTAAAAATTTCCGCAATAAGAAAAATTGCAATCGGAATAATAAAAATGGGCCTCTCCTGCAATCTTTAATTATTTTTATAGAGAATTGTTTAAATTATAATAATCATTTTTTATAAAAAATTTTTATTATAATAATCAACCACACTTTTTCCATTACATTTAACACACTGTTTAATTTTTTTATAATAAAACTATAGCATTACTAATTAAAGCAATATGTTTGAAATCTCTATGTATTATTTCAAGAATGTTTAGATTTCATTTCTTTTTGTGGCAGAGTTTGAATTTTTACTTTTTTCTTTTATAATATTTTGTTTTTATTTTTTTTTTAATTTGCTTTTTTCCAAGTTAAATACCCCATCACAGTTTTAAATAAATAAATAAATAAATAAATAAATAAATAAATAAATAAATAAATAAATAAAAATTTTAATTTAAAACAATCCTTTTATTTATTATTGATTTCTTTTTTTTTTTTTTGAAAAATAAAGTTGGTTTAAAGTGAAAATAATTAAACTAAATGTTGTTGCGATAGCTGTAAATCTGAATAGACCGATTGGCGATGTTCCTATAAAACCCACCAGTGATTGATCCTAAACCTGCACCCAATCCACAAAAAAATATGTTGTTTCATACTCTTTTGGTGCCATTTGATTTGATAACTCTGCCCCAGTACCCCTATTTGTTATAAAATAAAATAAATTATTATGTACTACTTACCTTCTGGTGATTTAAATGTTAATGCATCCATTGGATTATCGTGTTTAATTTCTTTTTTTGCCATCTTTTCCATCCTGATAATAATTTTTCAGATTTTTCTTCTGAAAATGAAGTAGTTAATGATCTTTAAATAAATTATCCATTTTTATTATTTCTTAATACCTAAATTATTTTATTTTATTTTGTTGATTATTTATTATTTATTATTTATATTAAATTAGAATATTTTTATTAAAAATAAAAAAGGTCTTTAAAAAAAATTAAAAAAAAAAAAAAAATTTTGAAACTTTTATAAATTAAAAATTATTTTTTATTATTTCAAACATTCAAGAATTTCTTTTTAGGGAAATGAATAGAAATAGAAATTATAATATATTAATTTTTTCATTTTTCATTTTCTAAAGCAGTCTTAATATATCACAAGTGCAAATGACATCAGACTAACAAATCGAGCCAGTAAATAGTAACAATTATTGTAATAGAGATAATAAAGAAACAACCATAGAATCATCATCAAATAATAACTATTTATTAAATAGCATAAAATTTTTAAAAGTAATTAAAAGAACTTAAATTCAGTCAAAGTTAAAATGGACCTTGCTTCTAAACTTAAAGCCTCGGAAGAGTATATCATGCGATGATGGAAGAAATTAAAAGACTTAGCGGAGAGAACAAAGATTTATCTCAATTCGAACAAATGTAAATTCCTCAGCAAAGAAGAGGATTTCGTTTGTCATGCTTAGTGTCGAGGGTATTAAAACTAAATCGTCAAAAATAGAAGCAATCGTAAACCTACCTATACCTACAGCAGTTAGAGAGGTTATGATTATTATTGTAAATAAATTAATTGTGGGTCAAAAAAGGAAGAATCTGTTCTCTAAGTTGGTAACTTTTTTTATTTTTTTATTAAATACTTTTAAGCATCTTTTATTTAATTATCCCTAGTTCTATGAGGATATGCGAATGTTTGGACCTTTAAAAGATCACCCAGAAGATGATTTAACCATCAAAAATTCCGGCTTGCCAGACTCGAACTAGCAACCGATTGATAACAAATAATTACTACAGTCAATCGCGCTACCATTGCGCCAAAGCCGGATTGGATGATATATTTGAATTTTTGGTTTTTTTTATGTAAAAAAATTTTCATTATTTTTATAACAAATTACAATTTTTTTATTAATCATTCAAATAAAAATTATAAAAGTTAATTTTAGTTTTAATTTTTTCTTATACCCTATGTAAAAAACTTTTTCCATATAATTTTTGATTTTCTAAATTAATTTAAAAGATATAGTTTATAAATTTTATATTTTTTAATATTGATTTAGTACTAAACAAATAGTTTTAGGTTTTATTTTTAAATTTAAACACAAGTTTTGATAAACTTTGATAATAATTATAAATAAAAATGAAAAAAAAAAAAAAATTTATTTTTCGTTTTTTTTTATTTTTTAAAATTTTTATTTTTTATTTTTTTAATTTTTTAATTTTTTTCTTTTTCTTTTTTTTATTTTTCATTTATTAATTACAAATAAATAATGATTTTAAACAAAAGAAATATAGTTAATAATAAACTCATTCAAAATCTTTTTAATAGTGTTAAATCAAATATAGTTATACAAAAAAATGACAACTTTAATTATAAATTGTTTTATTCAACATCAAATGAAGAGCCAACAAGTTTAAGAAAGGTTAAAAGGGAAAAAGTTTATAGAAAATTAATGACATTACCAGGTAGAGTAAGATCAATAAACTATACACCTACTTTAATATATTTACAGTATAATTAATTTAATATTATTTTTAAAATATATATATAGAATTTAAAGAAAACATTAAAACTTTTAAAAGATAACCCATTGGATGAATTAAAAAAAAGTAAGGAAGAATGGGAGGAATATATAAGCGTTAAAAATTCAGATTTAAACATTATTAAAGATAGACAATCTAAACTATTCGAAGAGGATGAGAAATTAGAATATGATAAAGAGGATGAAAAACTATCATTCATATTTGAAAAGTTGGATCAAAAGAAAAAGGAAGAAAAAGAAAGAGAAGAGTTAGAGAAATTAAATAAAAATAAAAACATCAAAGGCGAAGTTAAAATTAAAAATCTTAAAAATGTAGAACAAATGACACCAGAGCAAACTTCATTTGATAATGTTTATATGATTGATGATATAGCAAAAATTCAATTCGCAATCAATCAAATTAAAAAGGAAAAACAAATTGGGTTGGATATCGAAGCTGTAGAGATGGGTAAACGAGGTGAAATGTCATTAATACAAATATCAACACCCTCAAATGCCTCTGTATACTTATTTGATGTTTTAACATTAGGTGACATCATTTTTAAATTAGGTTTAAAAGAAGTTTTAGAAAGCAAAGTCATTTTAAAAGTAGTTCATGACTGTCGTAGAGATAGCGAAATCCTTTACCATAAATATCAAGTTTTATTAACTCATGTTTACGATATTCAAATTGCACATGCTATCATTCTAAAAAAGATTGATGGTAATTTACCAATTAGAAGATTTGGCTTCAACGAACTAACACATATATACACATCAAAAGAATACTCCAAATACTGTGTAGATATTAAATTTAAAACCAAGCAACTCTTTGACGAAGATAATAAAATTTGGGCAAAAAGACCAATTCCAAAACTACTATTAGATTATGCTTGTTTAGATGCTGCCATACTTTTACCAATTTATCGTACCATTACCCCAAAACTTCAAAGTGGTTCCGATCGTCGTTTCTTAAGATATCATTTTAATGAACAACTTAGGTATTTCAGAGATTCAGCAAGAGAATTATTCCCAAAAAATCTAATTTAAATAAAAACTCTTTGTATAAATGTATATAACTATTTATTTTTTTTATTTTTTTCCCAAAAGATACAATATTGGGATAATCAAATTTTTATTTTTTAATTACATAATTCAAAAAAAAAAAAATTCAAAGACAGAATTCAAGATTTCAGTGTTAAATTTTGAATGAGTTATTGCTGTAAGGAATTCTTGAAAATATTAATTTCATTTCGAATTATAGAGAGATTAAAAAAAAATTAATTGATTATTGTGGGATTTAATAAATTTTCTTACTTTTTTATAAAAAAGTTAAAAAAATTTAAAAAAAGTAAAATAAAAAGAAATCATCAAACATCATCCCATAAAATCAAATTAATTTTAAATAAAGTTGCTCTTAAATTTAAATTTTAAAAAAAACATCAAGAATTCCTTACAGCAATTTAGCTCATTCAAAATTTAACTCTGAAATCTCGAATTCTGTTTTTGATTTTTTTTTTTTTGATTTTTGTAAATTATTAAATAATCTAAAAAATAATTTTTATTTAATTATTTGATTAAATAATAATAATTTCCCCTTTTTATTTATATTTCTATTTATACTTAAAGATGATCAAAAAAAAAAT